TGAGTCATTTGAATATTAATTTTGTGTAAGTTCTTGGCTTCACTGATGAGACTGAGTCAAAGAGAGACTGCATTTTATAACCAGAAATCTAACTTTCATGTAACTCGTCAGAAGAGAACAAACTGTACCGAGTGTAAAGTGAATGTTTGAATAGAAGAAGAAAAAAATGGGTTTAAGGAATTTACACCAAGGATCACACATCCTTCGTTGTAACTGGTTCACCTAGTTGGTAACAGTCTACTACAGTGGGAAATAGTTTACAGATCGTTTGGTGAAATGATCCGTAATAAGTCTTAGGTGGGAAATATGAATATGAGTTTGAATGACTAATTAATTTAATTGATCCCTTTACGTTCAGAGTGGAATATAGGTTCACTTCAAGCTAGATCTTTGAAGTTTCGGTAGGAGTGGTTTCATTTTCATGGGGTGGAGCTGCTAGCCACACACTTGATGGGGTTTTGGAGTGCGTCGTCTGGGGATTGAATCCCGGACCACCTGTATTGTCGGTAAGTACTCGGCCACAGAATCATCGTCATACAGGAGTTTTAATGGGTTATCCTGAATGAATTTTGGCATTATCATTCCCTTCTGTTCCGAGTGGGACATATGGCTTCAACAACACATTTCCACTTTGTTTTATTTGGTGCTATTCTCTTCAGCTGGGTCTACGATTCCCGTAATCTCTCATCTCCTTCTTTCACGATCTCCTCCATGTCACCGTCGCACCACTGAGATTCCACTAGAGCCATGGCTTGTATTGCGCACGATGTGATTCGACGGCCTCCTTAATGTATGCCCGATCCATCTCCATTTTCTCCTATATATTTGTTGAGTAATCGGCTCTTGGTTGGCTTGTTCCCAATCAGAGTTTCTTGACGGTATCTCTCGTTGGAGGATTGGAGTCCACCGGCAGGCAATTCTGTGCGTGCTGTTGGTAGTGGTGTATTTCTGGGTGAGTTGCAGGTTATGGTCGATTCAAGAGTCCTTTAAAGTGATCAGCTCATTGTTCAATTTGTTTCCTCTCCTTGGTAATCAGGTCCCCTTGAACATCTTTTATTGCCTTCATCATCTGAGTTGATCTCTTCTCGGATAGAGACCTGATTATCTGATATAATGTTCTGAGGTCCCTTTTACCTGCGCATTGCCTGTTCTGCTTCATTTTCCAGCCAGTGTGTCGTAGAATTGTCTTTTGTTTTTCCTAGGAATCTTCTTCACTGTTTTATTCAGTACAGTGTACATTGAACTCAGCTTCTCCTTGCGTCGTCCATCATCTTCTCTTCCACCATCTTCCTCTCCTCTCTTCTATAAGCTTTCAGGTAGATATCCGTTAAGAGCTATCCCTTGTCTTGTCTCTTCTTTCTACCTAGAACAGTTGTACACGTTTCCTTGAACATCACCTTCAGAGAGCTAGTTACAGTATTCTTCCCCGAAGGTTACCTCAGTGATGCCATGTAGTGTCACCCACTTTGCTCTTATCTGATATGCAGTGAAGGCATCCCTTATAGTTTTGTCCTTCAAATTCTGAATATTTGACTTGAATTGCGGCCTATCGCCATTTGTTTTCATGGATTTCAGCTTCACCTTGAAGGTTTCTTGAACTAGATGATGGTCTGAGTCCAAATCTTCTCTCCTTCTCGACTTTGTATCTAGCAGGCTGAATCCTTACTTCCTTGAGTAGCATTGGGATGAAATCTATCTGGTTCGAGGTGTGTCCATCAGATGAAATCCATGTTGCTTTGTGAATATCTTTGTGCTTGCATATGCTACTTCCAATGACCAAATCACTGAAAGCTCAACAGTCTGCGAAGAGTTCTCCGTTCTCATTCACTTCACCGAGCCAGACCCTCTCAACCCATGATGAGTTCTCTTCATTTGGTGTTGTCTGCTCCGAGTCTGGCTGGAATTCATATCACCCATAAGGATTTTGATGTCACCATTTAGAATGTTGTCCATTACTGTGTGTAGTTGTTTGTAAAATTATTCCTTCTTCTCAATTGCTTCCGCGTTGTTTTCAGCAGTGGGTGTAGCATTCGATAATTGTTACCTTCCTTTCTTCCTTCCTCCCATTTGAATAGAATCTTGATGTCATGATCCTGGATGGAGAGATTGGTTCCCACTGCAATAGGGCTTTGACTGCTACTGGTGACATCATGATAGCCACTCACTGCCTCAATGTGTTCGTGGTTGTCGTGTAGTTGGGTGACCAGACCGGAGTAGATTACTGACTCTCCAGTTGACAGTGTTGTCAATCCACATGCATTCTATCTGTTCTCGCAGATATCCAGTGCTTCTAGGCCATATCTTCGCATTTCATTGGCTAGCTGAGCAGCCTTCCCAGTCAGTCTCGTACATCGTACGGAAATTCCACGTCTCCATTCTTACTCTTGTTTTCATTGCGAGTAGATAGATCAGCTGGCTGGCTGGCTTCGCGAAGACGAACTTTCAGCAGCCCGCTGTTTCATTTCGCCTCTCATATTCGAACGAAGAATATGATTCTCTCTTTGAATTTTTCGTATTTTTTACACATTACCTTACATGTATGGCTTGCCAAAGATGCATAAGCCTGACATCCCTATGAGACCAATGTTATCTATGATTAATTCGCCTAATCTCAAAGTAGCCAGGTGGCTAGCAGAAATGTTGGAACCAATCCGTAGTAAATTAGCAGTCTACAGCCTGAAAGACACATTCCAGTTCGCTAAACAATTAGAGAATCTAAACATCTCAAATAAATTTATGGTGTCCTTTTTTGATATTTTTGATTTACAGCTTGGTTCCACACTGTATTTCTGGTACAAGTATGGAATTTTTAGCATGGATATCGGTAGCCCAAATTTTGCAGGCCGACCATTGATATCAGGTGGGCGTCGGCAGTAGATCGAACCTCGGACCATGTGCGTGGTCGGCGAGACTCCTAACCACTGTACCACCGACGTGTCTTCACTGTTTACAAAGATCCCATTGGAGGAAACAATACAAATTATATGTCAACATGCCAAACGTCTTCCTTTGCCCAAGAAAGAACTCAAACAATTTTTACTTATGTGTACCTAAGACGTTCAGTTCCAGTCCAACAACACTCTATACCGCCAAATTGACGGAGTCGCCATGGGAAGCCCCCTAGGTCCGATTCTGGCAGATATTCTTATGGGTAGTCTAGAACAAACAAGGTTAAAATCCGCAGTCAGCCAGACACACTTCTATACCAGGTATGTCGATGACACTTTCGTTATTTGTAATTCTTTCAACGATGCATCTCAATAATTAGAAGTCTTGAACAGCGCCCATCCTAATACTAAGTTTACAATGGAGTATGAAAAAGAAGAGAAGTTCCATTTCCTGGATTTATGTATCCAACGAGATAAAGACGGCAAAATCATAAGATATATACACAGAAAAGAGACCTGGAGAGCGGTTTAGCTTAACTTCAAAAGCTTCTACCCTATAAGTTACAAAAAGGGATTGGTGAGAAGATTATTTGATCGTGTGAGGAAACTGTGTTCAGAAGAAAAGATCGAGGAAGAGCTATCTATTGTGGAGAAATGCCTACGCGACAACAGTAACCAACAAAAGTTCATCGACAAGCATGGGAGACGTCATGTTGAAAAAGTGAAAAGCAGCACAGTAGATAAAAAGCCTATCTTTCTGCAGCTTGCATTCAAAGGTGATGATACTGCTAGTAGAATAAGATGCAAACTGAATGCTGCCATGAAGGGAACATATCCAGCCGCCAAACTTATATGTGTTTATCAAACAACTAGTTGTTTGAGACAATCAAAAGTGGACAAATACCCACCTCATGTTACCTCCAACTGTGTCTACCAATTTACATGCACGTGCCAAAGCACATACATTGGAAGAAAAGAGAGAAGGGTTAGTATTCGCATTTATGGACACATACCAAAGAACCTGAGACTGAAAGGTCTGGAAGCATTAAACATCTATTGGACACTGGTCAACCTGAAGCTACACTTCGCTGAAGCAATTGCCATCAAATGGCTTAAACCAAATCTATGTACGCAGAGACATTGGTGAATCTTGCACTGCCCTGGTGGTAACAAAAAATATACAACTTTCATGAGTTGCTTTTTTCATGTTTAGAAGACTACTCTCTCATCTAAACATGACTCACTCTACCTTGTTTCTTTTCTTTCCTTTTTTCTATTGGCTATTAGATAAGATGTTTTCTTTAGTTACGTAATCTACTTTTTGTTATGCTCTTTCTAGCTAAACCTTGTTTCTATACACACACATATATATACAAACCTGTCTTTTTGTTTCCAAACCTAATTGTCTAATTATTCTATAAATAGTCAGTGTTTGTAACTCCTAATCAGTTAAATAATTTCGGACTAATGTAACTTTTAATTCCTACCAATTACTCCTTGTGATCGTGGAAAAGTATGTTTATATCTTTAATGTAATTCATATTTTTTAACGTTCAGGTTATAACCAGTTGAGAAGAATCCTTGAAATAATAATAAAAGATGAGCTCATATTATCCAGTTACAATTGTTGTTCTTGCTTTGTTCAAGTTTCTGAAGTTTCCTTAGCATTTTGATAGCTTTTGTGGTGTAGGTTCGCCAGGCCTACGCCTAATCCTCCCTCTTTACCCACCCTTGGGACAGGATAGAAAACTAGTAAGCTAGTTAATTAGGCGAGGTTAAATTTCGGTATTGAATTCTCTTCATTTTGTAATAATACTTCTGTGATTTACAAAAAAAAAACATGAATAATATCACTCTGTTATTCTCAACCAAAGTGAAACACACTGCAGTAGTACAGTGTTACAGAAAATCTTTGATAAAATACCAGGCGATATAAATAACATACAAATTCAATAAATAAATTGAAAGTTTATTTAAGGACATGGGAAAGAGTAGTGTGCAGAGAAATCTCTGTGATACTTTCATATTTCTCATTGCCTGACTATATAAACAGTAAAGATAAACAAAATTGAAAAGGAGAAAATAAAATAAGCGGCTGAGTACAATCTTCTCATGCGAATCTTTATATTTTTTACCGTTGGTCTGCTGTTACTTACTTCAGTGGATAGCAAGTACACCTGTAAAGTAGTTGAAGACGCTAAAACGGTTAGTTGTCAAGTTGATATCTGAATAAAATGTTTGTATTTTCTTTTTCTTTTTTTCTTTTTTTGGTTTCAGGATGATGGTCTTCACTCAACAACCCCTCCGGAAAGACCATTTAATGACAAACATTTGAAATTCATCTTAATATATGACAAAAAAGTTCAGAATAGTGTGGCGTACGAAAAACTCAAGGTATGTCTTAATATGTTTAATGTAGTATTTAATTATAATGTGTAGTGATAGTTATTCGCCATTATCCCACTTCATTAATATTTTACTTGATATTGCTATTTTATTTTGTCGTTATATTTCTTTAAGGATTCCACCAGAAAGAGACTGAACGGAACTTAGACTTTCAGTAATATGATAAGTAATTGTTACTTTATGAATGAACATTCTCCGTAGTTGGTTTTGTTTTTACGAGTTGATCACTGATTGATATCAGTTAGAGAACCACTAAAACCAAAAGAGTACTGAATAGCTGTTTCCTCCGTCCTAGTTTGGGAGTCTTCATCAGCGGCACGCACCTATCGCCAGCGTTCGAACCCAGGAGCTTCTGGTTACAAGGCGAGTTGCCTCATATACCATCCAGCCATTGGGAACCGATCCAATGGTCAGCCAGTCCATTAATTCCAACTTCTATCAATTCATGATTTAGCGCGACCGTCAACCAATGTCATCAGTGGTAAATCGACCCTCACACTTGACTGGGTAGACCTTACTGGTTACGACTTCTCATTAAAACTCCAGGAAACTCCATCCCGTAGCAAGTCACTAGCAAGCATCAGAACGTCCTGGGTTCTAACCCCAGTGGTAGGTGCGTACTGGCGATGATTCCCAATCACTAAGATGAAACAGCTGTCCAATACTCTCTGGTTTTCAATGGTTCTCTAACTGATCTCAGTTAGTGATCACCTCGCAAAAGTAAACTTTCCTTATTAGTGTAATAAATTTTAGACAAACAATTTCTATCACACTGATAGCTTCCATTCTGTTCTGCGTCAGTATTTAACCTGAAACTGCATCAAATTATCTTCTCATATTGTGTAGAGCATGCGCATAACTGAATACTTCTTCTCTCTCTCTTTGTGTCAAGCGCTGTTGTGAGTAATTTATCCTTCAATCTGAAATGTAAATTTGATTGATGCAATCATAATATTTGGTTTCTGGGTAGATAAAAAAAGGATTTCACAGTCGACTGCCTACTGTTCCATAGATGATTCTCAATACTTCATACTATAGTTGTTCAATTTTTTTCCGTATAAACACCCTGAGGAGTTGTTCCTCTTTTGATTAGGCGATTCTCTTTCAACTGATTAAAAATGCCCATTAGAATTTTTTCAAAAGAATGGATACTGAACAAAGGGTACTCTTTTCGATAACCTCTTCATCATCAGGCTCTACAGTTGTATGTACATTATACTGAGTGAGTGAATGAATGAATTAGTGTTATGAACAACATTAATGTTGCTTTTCGAATAACATCGAATCAGTAATACCAATAGATTACAGTTAAATAGCATCAACATAAAATAAGCTGAATATCAGAAGAATTAGGAAAGATAATATTACAAATTCATGAATTTATTGTCTCTACTGAAGGCCATGGCAGTAGTAGGGGCTGGACTTGCTTCTTTCGGACACAGAGCACAGGTTGCTTGAGGCGAATTGCAATAGCTTATGGTGTTTGGAGTATGTGGTGCTTCGATGATTTCGGAAATTTATTAGGCACCCGGTAGATTATAGAGAAGGATTCTTCCACGCTGACTGGCTTTGTGGCCGGTTTGCACCAGATGTTCCAATATCGAGCTGTTAATGGTTCTCGAGCAAGCACAAAAATCAAGTTCCTAGAGCAACGGCTAATATAACCCGCTTCACAAGTGCAGTTGAATTGGTAGCTAGTCTAGGTACTTCATCTTTCAGTCGAGATAGCACCATCGGTCGTGTAGAGAATAATACGTGTAGTTCAACAGCATTAAAAGTTCATTGAACTGATTTTCTTAATTTCTTCGCGATTATCTCGCTTGGTAAATCACCCATGAATTGTAGTCGTATATAAAGAGGCTTCGTGTTTACAGATACTGAGTAGTCCTTTTCCGTTTTCTTTGCCATGTGTTTCTTGATAAATTTGTCCTGATAGCCATTTTCGATCAAAGTATCATATACAATGCTTAAGTCATCTTCAATAACTTCTTCTGAGCATATAGCCCTAACTCTGTGGCTGAGGGTCTTTACTGAATTTCTTTTATACTTGATAGGAACGAAGCTGTGAAAATGTGTGTCTATTGTCCTGTCCAAGTACTTTTTCTATACTAATTTCTTTTTATGCTACCACCTGGTTTTCTTGTAAGTAGGACATCCAGGAAGGCAATTAATTCTGTCTTGGGATTCCAGTTCGCATGTGAATTTCATATCCGAATGTACTTCGTTGAATTCAGTAATTATTGTACTTCTATCATAACCATTATCACAAAGAATGAAGGTATCGTCCATATATTGGCATTTTTTGTTATACTGTTTGGTATCTACTTTGTTTTTTCCTGAACAGCTAATCTTCAGACTTCATGAAGTAATCATAAATTTGTATGTGGTCTGAAAATATATTCAGATGTTAGGTCAATAGTTGTTTTGATTACTTTCAATGAGGATTTCCTAACATTGGAAACTCTCTCTCTCTCTAGAGCACCAGACGACAGGATCCATTTTTGTCTGGAGTGCTGAGATGACGTGAACTATAACGAATCACAGCTTGCTTCGGTATATTTTTAGACATATTATCATATTTTTCAATAAGAATTATTTGGATATGTCACCTTTATGTATTCACTCTGTCCTTGTGCAGGGGACTGCCAACCATTGCACTAATCAAGACACTCTATTCAAACTCACATAGCTGTGTAAAGGCTTATGGGGAATTGTCATCTGAATTGAAAACAACCAGTGGTGTCCGACAGGGATGTCCACTTTCTGCATTTCTGTTTAATTTCTTCATAGATATGCTAATGGAAGTATCCTTAACTGAACTTAACAACTTAGGAATCGACCTGTTACCAGGGTATAGTCTTATGGACTTAGAATATGCAGATGACATAGTCATGTTAGGGGAGGATGCTGACAAAATGCAGAGTTTTGTTATTGGTAATTTTGTTAGAAATATTGCCAATAACAAAAGTTATCATTGTGTGTAAACTATTGAAATATAATTATACTTTATTTGCTTTCTTTAACTTACGCCATCTCTGGCGTAGGCGTGACATCCGGCTATCAACCAAAGGACGGGTGTACTGCTCATCAGTTCGCTCCGTCCTTCTCTATGGCTCTGAAACATGGCCGATAGGAGTTGAAGACATGAAAAAACTGATCGTTTTTGATCATAGATGTCTACGATCTCTTTCTCACGTTAGGTGGTATAATAAGGTAAGTAATGTTGTTGACCTTAGGCGTAGAGTGCTGGGCAAAGAGGGAAAATCAATCGACGAGGCTATAAAGTTACATAGATTGAGATGGCTAGGTGACGTGGTGCGCATGCCTAACCATCGCCTCCCCCGACGGGCATTACTAGTTGATATAGGTGCAGGTTGGAAAAGAGTAAGTGATGGCCAAACAAAAACATGGCATCAATCCATGAAATCCTTGGCAGTTAAACTGAGTCAGGTAGGGAGATGCAGACTCCCAGGTTGAGGCCCCTGGGACTCTAGGAATCAATGGCTGGAGACTATAGGTGACATGGCTCAAAATCGTTGTCAATGGCGCAGATGTATTCAGTCTCTGTAATCTTTCATATTGCTTTTAACCATTACCCACTCTGTTTCGCTTTTATACCTGTCAAACTCTATTAATTCTCTTCACTCATCTTCTTGTCTACCTCTGTGGGCTATTTGGAACGTGGCAACTAGAACTGGTGCACTTCGGTGCCAAATTCTATGTTGAATCCAGACAGACAGACAGATAGACATTCACTCTGTCCTAATATCCTAATCACAGAGAGTCATTTTAAGCTGATGTAATTTTCACATTGTTAATCCCTGAATAATCAGTCCTCATTTAGACATTAATGAAGACAAAAAACACGCCCCATCCAGAATTACTGTGTGACATTAAAAAAATAAACTTATCTAATATGGAACAAAACACGTATTTCAATGAAGAGTTTCTTTTCGCCGGTGAATTCATTCATTTAGTAGCTGTATAATCGCAATTATATATATACTTATTTACGTATGTGTGTGAATAAGAAATTAGTTAGGGCTGTTGTTTACATCATCAAAATTTTCAAAAAGATGATGAATTATCAAATTGTTACTAGCAGAGTACGTCGGTGGCACAGTGGTAGAATGCTCGCCGGCCACCCCTCATGTGATCCGGGGTTCGATTCCCGGCCAGCGTACTCCTTCACCTCGCCTAGCCGGTAGTAATCCCGGTAAAGAGGAAAGGTTTGGCATGAAGATAGAAACCCTATCGCTTAAAATAAACACCACTGTTATCGAAACTTCAGTTCTCTAGTTTGAAGCCCTACAGTCCACTGGGGACGTAAGGGAATAAAAAACACTAGCAGGGTAAAGATTAGTACAAGGGTAATGATGATGAATTGTCGAAAATAGTTGTCTATGTTAGTCAATGCATAAAAGAAGCTGAAGTAGTGTACTGTAGTCAAGCAATAAGGATGAATAATTTCATGAGTGAAGATGGACATAGAAACGAAGGAAAATAAGGAATTACGTAAGAGTTGTGAAGAAATATATAAGAGTTATAGGGAGTTAGAAAAGCAGATACATAAACATGAATTCGGTAGAAATCAATACGCTTGTTGCCATGATATCAAAACTCACTCATCTTATTGCCTAACTGTATTACACTTAATAAATAAAGCAGTTCAATCTTCACAAAGAAGACAAAGCAATAAGTTCGACAGGCTGCTTCAACTAAACTCTAATTCTAATTTTGAAAATACGTCTAATCATAAAATTCTAGATAATAACAGTTTGAACGGACATGAAGGTGTGATGTTAGCTGATGCATAGCCAATCCTGATTAATAAATAAAAATGGATGCATATCACTAATTAATTATACTTGGTCAAAATTCCCGATTGTCTATATAATCTTATGGACACGCAGACAAATGTTTTAGATTTTTTTAAACACACTGGGATTAATTTAAATAATTTATAGTGAATCAATCTGACTCGGCGCTCAAATTATTCCAGGAAGTTCATGACACTTACAGTCTGGAAGCTTTTAAGAGATGTTCCTTTAATATATATTAACCTCTTATGTTATTAGAATTTAATTGATGGATAGTGACTTGCAGTGGAATCTGTTAATGTTAATTTCGATTAATTTCCCTGAAGAAGTTCGGACCAGATTGCTGTACGAAACGTTGGAATTACGCATTTCAAACTCGCTGAGATTTTACAAATATGATTTTTTACAAATGTCTACTTCTCACTCGACGCCCAAAATTTTTAGAACATTCTGTCAAATCTTGATGACATTTCATTTGAAGGTATTACACTTATTCGACTTCTTTTATGTATTATTATATTATTATTATTTCATTGGGTTCCTAGTGGAACATAGGGCTTCAACTGCACGTCTCCACTTGCTTCTGTCTTCCTTCTGCTGTACTTTTCACCTGCATCCATGTTAGTCCATACTGTTTCAACTCACCTCTTCACACAATCTCCTCCATGTCACCCTCGCACTGACGTCCCACTCGCCGATTCCCTTTCACCCTGGTTCCACTTGAGCAATGGCCTGAGGCGCGCGCGATGTCAGCCAGATGAGGCCTCTTCAGCGAGTGTCCAATCCATCCATCTCCACTTTCTCCTGCACATTTGTTGGTTGATGATTGGTTCTTGTTTTGTTTGTTCCCCGCCATAGTTTATTGTTGGTGGTTCTTTCCGGCCCGGCCATCTGATCTTCAGTGTAGAGCCAGCGAAGACAGTTGTTGGTTGATGAAGGTCTGCAACAGGCTGTTGGTTGGAAATATATTCTTTGTGACTCACCCGCCAAGTTTCTGATCCGTATAGAAGAACTGACTGACTTGACGTTGTTTGTATTGAAAATCCGACCGAATTTTGTTGTTGATGATGGCTGAGTGACGAAGATTTTCAGATTGGTTTCAGTCAGGTTGATGAATGTGTTTCTCGCCCCCCCCCACCACCCTATTCTCGCTCGATTTGACATTCTCGTCCGTTCCGACTTCCTGTAGTTGAGACAATGCTCCCTAGATCAGTGTGTGAATGAAGTAACCTCTTTCAAATCCCTCCCGTTGATGGTGATTGGCGCTGGATGTTGCTGTTGTTGTTGGTTGGTTATTTTCATAACCTCTGTTTTGTCTATGTTCACTCGGAGTCCTGTCTTCTCTGGCTGCTTATTCGACCAGTTTGTCGGTTTTCGCTTGTAAGTCTTCGATTCTGTGTGACATCAAACGTAAATGATCCACTCGCGAAATCCAGGTCTTCTAGGTTCTTCACGTCAGTCGGTTCAGGATATTCCTGTCTTCTCGTTTCCCATTGTCTGACGCATAATCCAGTCAGTCCACCACAATTAGGAATATCATTCATTGGTGATAATAAGCACCCTTGTCTGACTCCTGTGTTGACTCCAAACGCCTCGCTGAGTTTTCCGTTGTGGATCACTTGACATGTGCAGTTGCCACACAACCAGCTGTTGAATAAGGTTGATGAATATTTAGGGTACGCCGTAGTACTCGAATAGTTTCCAAATTAATTCGCGGTCAACGCCTTCTCAAAGTCTATAAAGTTGAGGTAAAGGCTTGATTGCCATTCCATGCTTTGTTCAATGTATTGATCTACATTAATAATTATGTTGTTTCGACAACTCATCACCATTATCTTCCTACCAAACTTCACCTTTCCTCCAACCCTAGTTACAATTGCATTCATTATTCATCACATTTTTTAAATCTATTGAGAACAATTTCCCTAATTTTTATTTTCATTGGACAAACCTAATGTACACACACAGACAAATAAATATATATAATTGCGACTGTACAGCTATTAAGTGAATGAGTTCGCCAACGAAAAGAGACTTTTCACTGACATAAGAATAGAACTTGTGCACTGTGGTAGAGTATTATTCCATTGCGGGTAAAATTTATTTTGATAAAGTCTCACAGTGTTGTTGTACAGCAATATTTACTGACGACCACGTTTCGAGGACAGTTTATCACTGCTCAAAATCATATCAAGGCACTACTCACACAACTCTCTAACTTCGTTTATATAATTCCATTATTTTTCATAGCTTGATTTGATTGGTAGTAGTATTTTCCATATTTCAGGTATGAGTGACGAGTCATTCCTATTGCATGTGTTGGGTGTGGATTCGATGAACGAGGATTCAGTAATCAACCTCTCTCTCTCTCCGCCTACCTATATTACTTGTTGGAATTTTAACTCTCTCCCAACCTATTGTATTGTTGTGTAATAATGCATGTAATGCAATTGCTGAGCTTTTTTCTAAATTACTTATCTTCGCGGGGTCAGCCGTTCTTACCTTAGCTAAATTGATATATTTTGACAATCTGAATACTCCCAATCTACCAGTTTGCCCTATGTAGTTGACCTTACAGTCATTGCATAGGGTTTTGTAAATCATATTATTATGTCTAATTGAATCAACCTACAGGGACCTTTAACCCACAGAGCTTGTCCCTGAGTGAACTAGTAGGTTTAAATGCCACTCTAATTCCTGCTTTATTGAGAATCCTATGTAGGATCTCAGATGTCTACTTCTTTATATGGTATCACAGTAGATGACTTATATTTTCTTTTATTTATTTTATCATTACTAGTTCCACAATTATTTTCATTTTGCTTTCGACCTTTTCTGATCTTCCTAATGAATTTTATAAGATAGTTATTTGACATCAACGCTTCTTCTATCTGTTTTATTTCGTCATTTAGGTCTTTTCTTGTGCTACTTAGTGCTATTGCTCGGTTTGTTAGACACTGAACTAAGCCTGCCTTAACAGTTAACGGATGAGATGAATTAAAGTCTAAATGTCTATTAGAATGCGTTAGTTTTACAGTTTACCTTCTTTTGTTCGTTTTATTTTACAATCTAACATCATGGCTAATTCTCCTTGATCCTTTTCTGATTCAAATGTGAATTTTATTTCCTTTACTAGTGAGTAAGTTTATATGTGTCAAGAAGCTAGAGAAAGATATGTTTTGTTTTTAACACTGTGTGTGGAGGTGTCATCCAGATATCTTCACCATATTACGCTTTTGGAGTTGGATTAAATATATTTGAGAGCGACATTTTCCCAGCTATGTGTTTTGTTTTCACTTTGTTCATCAGCATCAAAACGGTAGGCCTTATAGTTTTTAAAAAAAATTTTCTAAGTTTTAACCTGATTCTTTGTTTTATGAATTTTGTTTTTATTATTTAATCAAATGAAAAAGCATGTCGTGAAATCTGCTTCTGATTTCTGGTCACAAACACTGACTGTTAAATTCGAGAAATGGGAAAATCTACTGGTAAAGAGGTAAGATCTTCTTACATGTGTAGATCAATTCAAAGTTTTACTAGATTTTTATTTTTATATAATTGATGCAAATCAATTGATTTCATGCTACATGTGATGCTTGTAGTATAGTGCATGTTGCTAAAGAGTCTCGAACTAGGACAGAACAAAAATGTTCAGTACTTCCTGGTGGGTTTTCCAATGGTTCTCCTCAACTGGTGTCAACTCGAAATCAAACCTCTGATAAACATATCTCCAGTTTCAAAGTGATCTTATCGCAAACACTGAATCAACTCATATGTGCTTATAAAAGCTATCACTCCACTTGTCTTCTTACCATATTATTATGAATGTAGGTTAATTTGTTTTTTCCCTGGCTTTCATTGATTCAGAACTTGTCTGCTTCCTACAACTTGAGTAATAGAATTTATTAGTTTTATTGCAGTTTTATTTGGAGGATTTTCATCATGCGCTGATATCAGTTAGAGAACCATTGGAGAACCCACCAAGGAGTACTGGACAGCTATTTCCGCCGTCCTAGTTTAGGACTCTTCATCAGTACGCACCCACCACAAAGGGCTCGAACCCAGGATTTTCTGATTACAAGGCTAGCGTGCTCGTAGACCATTAAGCCACTGAATCGGATCCAATGGCCAGCCAGTTCATGAGTTGTAGCTTCTGCCAATTCATGACATAGCGCGACCACTTCACAATGTCTTCTTCTATACGTTGTTGCCTCACCTTTAACCTGCTGTGTGCCCTACTGGTCACAACTTCTCACTAGAACCCCATGTTAACTGCCTAAATAGGGCCAGTCAATAATGAGCATCAAATCAACTTTCAAGAATTGGTTATTTGTAGGAATTTTTTTTGATTGGTTGGAGGATTTTCCTCATAAACTGGCGTCATTTGCACTTGCCTTATTGCAATTTTACCTTGGATTTATTTCTGTATTTCAAATATAACATAAACGTTTCAATACGATTTGACTGCACTATAAGTAATTGTTGGACATTTAGCAAGAGACATTAAGAAGATGAATACTATCCTACACGTAATAGTTAACATGTAAATAAGAAAGAATAGTGTTATTTAATTATTTTTAAAGTATCAACGTCCACAGCTAGGTTTTTCAACTCTTTTTTTCCCTGAGAAGTTAGACCAGCAACTACCATCATTTACGTAACCCTTGAAAACCCAACAGTACTTAACGACTGTCTTGTCTTAGACTAGAACTCCTTAACAGTACACATCCATGACATCATGGTTAGGGGAAGAAAGAGTTTCCCATTTGGACAATGGGATTGAATCTATCGGTGTATGAAGTCTAATTTCTTCCACTTTCATACATTTATTCCCCTTAATTAATTTGAACAAAGCGAGAACTACAGTTTTAGCAGAATAAAATCGTACCATCTTTTATTTCGTTGCCTTCTCGTCAGCTGCTAACATGGCAAAGACATTATTAAATATATCTACAACAACAAGTATGTTAAAACTGTTGTTGTAGATATATTTAATAATGTCTTTGCCATGTAAGCAGATGACGAGAAGGCAACGAAATAAAAGATGGTACGATTTTATTCTGCTAAAACTGTAGTTCTTGCTTTGTTCAAATTCTTCCACTTTGCCAGCCAGTTTCATTGATCAAGATCTGTTTGATACCCGACTTCGTGGACCGATAGTTAAACGTTGAGGATCTTGTGTTCCTTTTCCTGTTCACTCACACAAGTGTTGCGAAATATACTGTTGTTTTGCTGCATAAAGTAATCCGGTTTCAAAATTATAGTCTTTAGCATAAGTAATATATCTACCAATGCTCTAAAATACAGCTCTTATCTTTCATGTATAAAACAAATACTTGTGTCGAATGTGTTTCTCTTGCTTTTACTACATGAACTCTTATAAAATCATAAATTTTCAATAGAAATACCAGCTATCTAGTGATTTGTCGGTTACTTGAAGTTAGTAGAGTTCTTGTACAACTTCAGTAGCGAACAATGAATCGCATGGAATAATCTAACTGAAAACAATACTCTTCGCTTTCATGTGTCTTTCTAAAGGTGTCTATATTTGACTTTTTCTCTAGGGAATGTGTAAGCGGAAGCCTACAGTTATCCAGAAGGGAAAAACTACCAGTTTGCAGAAGAACTGATTGCAAGGAAGTTAAACTCTGTTACAATTATCCTGTACCTAGTAATTTCTTGGCTGTAAGTGAACTTTTTATCAGGAATGAATGTCATATATATATTTATCAGAAACTATTGTCATGTTTTTAAAACTAGATTAAGTTTGCGTTTATCTCAAAGCAAGGTTCGCGCTCAAATAACCTTAAAATTTCGTTTATATGATTCCGTTATCAATTATCGATTGATTGTACTGGTCGTTATAATTCCCATATCTCTGGTAGGGACACTGTAACATTCCTAATAGTAGTATAGAAGTATTGACCGTCAGATAAATAAGGAAGATTGTAAGGCATCTATGGTTTTATCGTTTAAGGAAGCGACGTTCGAAACCCTACGTAGAGTTCTTATCAAAGTAGCTATTAAGGTGGCATTTAAACCTACCGACTCACTCAGGTCCAATCTCTATTGGCTAAGGGACCGTATTGCTCCAATTAAACATAATAATAATATAATTAAAAAAAAACACACCTTAATCTGACTACGAGGTTAACTACGTCGGTCAGACGAAGAGATCAATGATAGTCAGATTATCAGAACATAATAATTCAGCTATGGGTAGAATCGACTAACTCCAAGAAGATGAACAATTAACAGAAAAACTCATCAATCTCAATACATGTAAATATGCTATGATTGTTTTTTACATCACAGTATATTCTTTTCACAACTGTGCGTTGGTGGCACAGCGGCGGAATGCTCGCTGACCACGCATGTTGCCCTGGGTTCAATCCCTTGCCGATGCACTCCCAAACCTCGCTCGCTAAACCAGTAGTAAGACTGGTAAAGAGAGAAGGTTGGACATGGGGCTAGCAACCCTATCCCGTAGGCATAAACACCACTGCTACTGAAACTTCAAGCCTCTAGCTTGAAGCCATCCTGTGTTCCACTGGAAACGTAAAGGAATAAAAAATCACAACTGTAGACCAAACTGCAGTAATTTATGAAATACAGTATCATGTAAAAATCTCAATATTAGATCGTAAACTACTTTGTTTTACTATAAAATACATCAATTTTTTGGTGAGAATCCGTAAAAGATTACGTATGCAAGATAGACGGAAGTGTAAACGCAATTTAATAAGGTGGTCAGTTCATAACACCCCCTCCTCCAGACTAATCTTCCCAAACGACTGTTTCAATGAGGAACTTAGTATTATAAGGAGAACTGATTAGTAAAAAATAGTTATACAGATAAGTTCATTGGTAAAACTATGAATTAAGCACCAAGGCAAGTCAGTACGACAACAACTCCAAAGAATCTCTTATCCACAAAGCTGAAATTTCTTGATGATAACATCAACGGAAAAGTAACACAGTGCCGAAAGAATTCAACAAAAACAGTATTGAATGCAACAGGGGTACTTTGTGTCTCTTCACAACAACTTTGATTTGATAAATAGAATGAACTGCTCGATTTGTCCACCTCTGTGTGCATCTACCAGTTTGACTGCTCCAGTGGGGCTAGTCAGATTGGTTGTACAATTGTACAGGTTTGGATTTAAGAAACATAGTCTTTTACTGGATGGAGGACTTCATCATCAGCTGACATCAGTTAGAGAACCACTGGAAAACCTGGGAGTACTGGACAGCCGTTTCGTCCTAGTTAAGTACTCTTCATCAGTACGCATCTATTGCCAGGGTTTGAACCCAGGACCTTCTGGTTACAAGGCTAGCGAGCTCGCTGTCCATTGATTCACTGGGACCCGAACCAATGGCTCATGAATTCCAATTTCCGCCAATTCACGACATGGCGCTACGATTTCGTACTGTCTTCTTCTATGAGTGGCTGCATCATCTTTAACCTGCTGTACCCTACTAGTCATGGCTTCCCACCAGAACCCCAGGTTAACTGTCTGAATGGGATCAGTCGCTAGTGAGTATCATCATCATCTTTGATGGCTAAGCAAGGTGCAAACAAGATTTATTCATAGCTCTGTTTTAGCACACCTTGTAGACAGTGGGCATAAAGTTGGCATCATTAAAGCATACAAGGTTATTTCTCTCATTACGACCAATACTAATTTTACTCTACGAGTTCTTCTTCTACATTAAAGGCGAAAGGCTATCGGAATCCACCCGATGTAGCCTGTTAAGAAGAAATTCCTGAAGCTAGTTTCCACATCTTGTCTATCATTACATGAATGTAAAAAAAAACTGACAACTTCCCCTCTTTTACCCAAACTCTTTACAAGTTATCACTGTTCACTTTACTTTATTATTCTGACTACTTCATTCATCTTTAGTTGTTTGTCACTCACTTGATATTATTACTCATTTATTCATTATTCATTATTTTTTCAAACGTTTGCCTTATGTAGTCCACTTGTTTAATTTTTGCAATTGTTTCTACCCTTTAATTGTTGTCTTAGGTTTCTTTGGTTAATAATAATCTCTTTGACATGCTGATATTGACCAATTATCGTTTACAAAAGTATCACTCCTAAATAGGTAAATTTCTTTTATTGCATTAAAGGTGCTCTATTCCATATTAGTTTGTTTAATTAGATGTGTCACACAGTGATGAAACAGTATTATTTGCTAGATGACATTGTTTCGAACACAATTTTGTGTTCATAATCATATCAGTTGTAATCACTTTGAAACTTGAGTTTTATAGTTTTCTTTGTCTTCTCCTATTTGTCGTCGTTGGGGTAGTTGAATTTTCCAGATATCAGGGACAGGTGTTGAATCATTCCTATTACATGTATTTGCAGTTGATTCGAATTGCAGTTGTTTATCGAATCAACTGCAAATACATGTAATAGGAATGATTCAACACCTGTCCCTGATATCTGGAAAATTCAACTACCCCAACGACGACAAATAGGAGAAGACAAAGAAAACTATAAAACTCAAGTTTCAAAGTCGTGTGATTACAATTGATATGATTTGCACCGATGGCACAGTGGTTACGACTGTCACCGACCATGAACATGGTCTGAGGTTCGACCCCCTGCCGACGCACATCTGATATCTATGGTCGGCCTGCAAAATTTGGGCTACCGACATCACATGCTGAAAATTCCATACTTGTACCAAAAATATAGTGTGGAATCAAGCTGTAATCATAAAAGAGATTATGGACAATAAATTTTGTTCGAAATGTCATCTAGTAAATAATACTGTTTCTTCATTGTGTGATACATCTAATAAACAAACTAATATGGAATTACTTACTACCACAGTACCCAAGTTTTACACATATATTAAAGGTGCTCTATCAAATACCCCAATTTTGTGGTGTGTGCAAGTATGCAACGTATAAAAACACTCTGGGATTATGCGTACATATACTTACTTATAATTTATAACAACAAACCTATTTCATAAACAATTTATTAGAAAAAAAACTATGCAGTTTTTGACCAGTGAAGACACATTTCTCTCGAAAAATTTTCTTTTGAAGCTGTACACTCGTATTTATATTGTAGAAAAAACGCATTACATCACATTGAAAATTGCTTAGTCATTATACAAACCGTAGTTAACACATGGTGTTAATTAGGGTAGAATTGAAGTGGATGGGTTAAAAAATTCTCAAATTGATAATTAAATATTCAAGAGTTTCTTTGTAGGAATTTTCTTTGTTTGAATTTTGACCACGAACTGATGATATCAGTTAGTTAGAGTAACATTGAATACTAACAGGGAGTACTGGAGGACTGTTTTGTCCTAGTTTAAATTTCATCAACAAAATACACCAACCCTTGGGCTGGAACTCAGGACCCTCCTTTTACATTGTTAGGTCGTAGAGCATTCAGCCACTGGAATCGGACTGAATAGTTAGCCCATGAATTCTAACTTCCATCTTTTCGTGGTCTTAGCGTAACCATTAGCCAATGAGGAACACTGAGGAGTATTTGTCCTCATACGCAACGAGGTAGACCCTAATGCTCATGACTTTCTTTCCACTATGATTCCAGGTAACTTCGTCCTTCAGTCAGTCACTAGTGAGTGTTAGATTAATTTTTGAGAATTAGTTTGTAAGGATTTGATTTGTTTCAAAGTTGATCACGGATTGATGATATCAGTTAGAGAACCATTGAAAACTAGGGCGTAGTGGACAGCTGTTTTCGCCGGGTTTGTGATTCGTCGGCAGTACGTACATATATTCACTGAGTCAACTGGTATTCAACTCAACCCTCTTTTTATTTTGATCATGTGTACATTAACTAAGCGGTTCCGCAAGATCAACACTACTGTACAGCTTCGAAGTAAATTTGTTAAAGAGAAATATTTCTACGATGAACAAAACTGTTTTTTCCCGCGTAATCTGATGAACTGTAAGAATTCTGCTGACAGTGTGAGGGGATTTAGTAAGTTTCTAACATATTCTGTGAAGATTTTTAAAGCGAATGCAAATAATAATTATTTACAAGTTGAACTTATAAAAATATATTACCAGTGTTTTTTTATAACCATACATGTTTGAACTCTATTTCAGGCGTGTTACTACAGAAAATACGCTCGTAATACGTTAATTTATCCTGAAGGGAGTGGTGTTAAGCCAAATGAACTTGTTTTATTTGTTACTAACGTCTTCATTAATCCATGTGGAGGAGGTACAATTGCCTGGGCTACACACTGTGAACGAGATCCTCAGAATAAAAGGTGAGTCAGCTTTCTGTTACGAATTCGTTTTTTTTAAAGACTTAATCATGTGTACACTTAAAAATTTTTGCATTTAAGTAACTAAAATACTTGAGTTTTGAAGACTCTAAAGTAATATTTGCAGATAAAAAAGGAATCTGTTTGTTTTGTGCAGAAATGATTTTTATAGTGGTCATAGTTTTCAATATTTGTCTGAGACAAGCGAATCAATTCTATGAAGCTCAGTAAGATAGCACAGCTTGGAAATTTGTCATCTCAAGTGAAGGCCTACTTTAGTTAAAGAGTTACATGATGTATGATACATGAAATATTACTGTAAAATGATGTCAATTACTCGAAGTGTCGTCTTACACACTTACACAGATACAAGTTGTTTATATAAAACGGTGATATTTAAAGTAAATATAAAACACGAAGAATTTTACGAGAAATAGAGTTCAGCTAGTCAAATTGTCCTGTAAGTGAGCTGCACATCATACGTCATGTTATTGTGGTTCATGATGGCGTTCAGTGCAAACATGTATATATATATATATATATATATATATATATTGGTTCGGTAGTTCACTCATTGAACACTCACCAAATGCGTATGTAGTGTAGTTGAACGTAAACCTCTTAACCGGCACTATCCTGGCCAATGAGAGAACATTTAGTGTGTGGCTAGCTACTCCATTCCGTATGAAAGTACCACAGCTACTGAAACTTCAAATCTCAAGCATGAAGACTTAAGTTACACTCGGAGCACAGACGAATGGACAAATTATATATACATATGTGTTTTTCTAAATAAATGATATATATATATATATAACGGTTAAATGTTTGTTATTTCTTACTTTCAGACCTTTTATGGGCAGAGTGAACTTTTGTTATGATGCCAATACAATTAAAACTATGAATGATATATATTTAATTGATGTTACGAAGCATGAAATAGCACATATATTGGTAAGTCAGTAAATTGTAAAGTTTTGTCCCGAAATAATAATAATAATAATACCAGTTTTTTCTCATATGAAAGTGTCATATGTATGTAGAGTCTTTCAAATATCATGAAAACAACGTTATCATTCCTTTGTTCATCATGCTTGCTCTGACATAATTATTTTGCTAATTCACTTGACTATTAGTATAAAACTCAGTAGTATATGTTTAATGTCACAAAAAACCTGCAAGAGAAAACCAACAGACTACTGGCAGAGAAGACAGGACTCCAGGTGAAAACAGAGAAGAGAGAGAGAGAGAGTTCATGAAGATAACCAACAAACGGCACTAGTCAGTATCGACGGGAGAAATTTGAAAGAGGTAACTTCATTCATTCATCTGACTACGCAGTATCTTTTCAAATAAAATCAACAGCACTGATGAAGACGTCAAAACCAAAATCAGAAAGGCAAGATACACATTTATCAATCTGAAATCAATTGGTAAATCTGCTGCAATCAGCCAGAGTAGAGAAGAACAAGTCAGTTCATCTGTATGAGTGAGAAATTCGGACTATGCATCACGAAAAGCATTTCCAACAGCTGCCTTAGCTACATACTGAAGATGAAATTCTCAGTCGGCTAGAAAGAATTAGCGGCAAGAAACTATGGGAATAAACTAAACAATAACCTATCGTTTAACAAATATGTAAGAGATGGACACTGAGGAGATCGTCTACCAGGCCATTGAGTAGAGTCTGAATGGGAGGCGACGAGTTAGTTGGTCGTCAGTGTGAGGTTAATATGGAGGAGATTGTATGGCGAAGTGGAAATGAGAGATTATAGGAAATCGTGGACCCAGCTAACAGGGGACAGCGGAAAATAGAAGAAAGTGGAGATGTGTTGTTGAAGCCCTATGTTCCACTAGGAACCCTAGGGAATAATAATAATAATAGTTAGTAATATTATTTACGGTAATTCAAACATAATCGGTTTACAAGTATTGCAGACCATATCTTTCAGCTAATCTAGTACATGACGTTAACACTGCTGAATTAATTTAGAGGTGGATAACTTATGAGGGAAAGATTTAGTGGACAAACTAGAATCCAACTAATACCTAATTGGAAATAATATTACTTCCAAATGTGTCCCAGTAGAGAACAGTTTCTAGTCCAATTAGTTCATAATTATTAAAGAGACAAAAATCGGAGAAAATGAAAACAGGAAAGAATGAAAAAAGAAAGGTTACTTTTGACATAACACGTTTAAAAACTACTTCAATTAATGAAATTTTGAAGGCAGTTTGAAATGAACTGGATACTGGTCCTAAATTTTTTGGTCAAAGTAACAATATTAAGTGCTGTGTGCATATTTCGGAAATAAAACATGCAAAAAAAAGAAATGGAGTGCCGATTGGATCATCATTATCCCCAATAGTAGTATCAGATACATTTATGGATTGTTAGAAACACAAAGCTCTCAGAAAGTTTAATGTCGCTCCTAGATTTTGGTGGGGGATATGTAGATAACAGATTCACCATGTTGAAATCTGAGCATATCCTTGAATCCAGTTCACTCTTGAATTAGAGAATGAAGAGACTGAGTTAGCTATGCTTGACTATTTAAATTAAATATAAAAACTTCAAATAACAACAACAACCTTTTTTTCGCTCGAATAGGAGAGGCGGAATAAAAGAGCAGACTGGTGAAAAATCACCTTCGCGAAGCCAGTCACCCAGCCGATCTATCTTCTCTCGATGAAAACAAGAGTAAGAATGGAGACGTGGAATTTCCGTACGATGTACGAGACTGACTGGGAAGGCTGCTCAGCTAGCCAATGAAATGCGAAGATATGGTTCAGTAGCACTGGATATCTGCAAGAACAGATAGAATGGGTGTGGATTGACAACACTGTCAACTGGAGAGTCAATAATCTACTCCGGTCTGGTCACCCAACTACACGACAACCACGAACACATTGAGGCAGTGAGTGGCTATCATGATGTCACCAGTAGCAGTCAAAGCCCTATTGCAGTGGGAACCAATCTCTCCATCCAGGATCATGACATCAAGATTCTATTCAAATGGGAGGAAGGAAGGAAGGAAGGTAACAATTATCGAATGCTACACCCACTGCTGAAAACAACGCGGAAGCAATTGAGAAGAAGGAGAATTTTACAAACAACTACACACAGTAATGGACAACATTCTAAATGGTGACATCAAAACCCTTATGGGTGATATGACTACCATCCAGACTAGGAGCAGATAACACCACATGAAGAAAATTCATCATGGATCGAGATGCTCTCTCTCGGAGAAACGAATGAGAACGGATAATTCGGTGTCTGCTAGGGTTTTTTACTGTTTACCCTTTCTAGTCGATCATCTGATCTGCGGTATCAAGAGGAGATAGACGTCAAAAAAAGTGTATTTATATTTCCAGTTATTCTTCAAATGATTCAACTGATAAAAAAAATAGAAAAATCGTGGTGCACCATCTTTATAATTTGTAAAATAAAAATTTATGCAACCTTTTCTGTTAATTTTACCAGGGAATCAGTCCCTCAATATTTGCATCCCTGCCTGATTTGGAACCGGCATTTAGAATAAACAATAAGTGAGTTTAACATTAAAAATATTCTATCCGAAAATTAATAAAAATAAGAGAAGTAGTTTAGCTTATATGATTTCCTATGAAGGCACTGAAACGTAAACACATCAATAAAATAAAACTTTTTATAAACATTTCGGAATTTTATTAAGTGAAATTAACAGTGTCGGCATGTCGTACATTTCTCAGACACAAACTGCATAATATCATTTTTAGAAACCGATATCTTTATGATAATCAGAAGAAAAATTGAAAATTTACCAGTATTAGTTTTTGTAGGGATTTTTGTTTGATCAGTTACAGGATTTCGTTATGAGTTGATATCGGTTAAGGAACCATAAGAATACATGAGAATTCTGGATAGCCGTTACATTCTAGTTTAGAACTTTTCACGAGTACGCCGGCTACGGGGTTCAAACCCAATGCCTTCCGGCTACAAGATGAGCTCGTAGACCATTAAGCCACTGAGACCTGATCCAGTGGCCAATGCATGAATTCCAGTTTCTGCCAATTCATGACATAAAGCGACCACTCCGCATAAGTTAAAATTCATGAGCCATTGGATCAGGTTTCAGTGGCTTAATGATCTATGAGATCGCTAGCTTTGTAACCAGAAGGTCCTGGGTTCGAGCTCTGACGGTGGGTGTATATTGATGAAGCGTCGAAAACTAGGATGGTGGAAACAGCTGTCCTAGTACTTCGTGGTGGGTTTTCCAATACTTCTCTAACTGATGTCAGCTGATGATGAAATCTTCCAACCAATTAAATAATATTATCGCACATCTTTGAAAAGTTATTGAGTGTTAGGTGTATGAACTTTAGCATAATTAGTTATACAGTTTTGTTATTTCTGTCTACATTTTAGCCCAAGACCTGTTCAAAATGTCACTCGAGAATGGGTAACACCAAAAAGAAGAATTATCAAGAACAAATTAGCAATTCGATTACCGAAAATGCTTGTAAGTTTTTATGATATGGTCTTATATTTCGAAGATGAAAAATAACACCTAATTTTATTCAGCGCAAATAATTCAAAATATAACTGTTTCCCGGAAAAACTAAGTATTTTTTTTTGGATAAATAGCTAATGATTTTATACAGTCGGTTCGGTTTGTTACTTTGAGAAAAAAAAGAAGGAAAGCATATGTTTGCAAGATACCAGGCAATCGTTTTATTTCGTTGATTCTATTCCATCTCATATATCCAAAACAATACGACAATATAAGTTACACAATTTTCGAACATATTCAACTCACAGTGAATTCGAATTATAAATAGAAAGTACGAGCAACATCATTCGAATAAATAATGTAATTAGACAAATTATTCAGTGTATTAGATGGTTAGAGGTGATCGACAGGTTTCCTGCTAGTTGACACTTACCAGTAATCAGAAAGGCATATCTGCAATCCTGAGGGAAATCATATCCCTTCTGAAATTTGAACTCAGATCAGCCAGTGAGGGATTCAGTCAGTGACGTGACCATGGAGCTATTCGCGCTCGCGACTTGCCTCTTCAACTATTCAGTGTTAATAGGCAAGAGGAGATAGAGTTGAGATTTCGCTTGAAAACACGAATCGACTAGATACAAAATGCAAAAGAATCAAAATAACAGACTGAATTCATACACATTGTGATGGAGAGCTGACGAAGATGTGACCTAATAGTAAATTCAAACTATGACATATACGAACAAGTGAGTAGTGAGTTCGGAAGCTGAATAGTGAGTTCGACTCAGTAGGTGAAAATATAAGTCGAAATTAAGTTGATGTGAGTTTATGGTTAAGATATCATTTTAGTTAACTGTACTGAACTATATTGCATGTTGTCTTATTGTATAGTTGTCGTCGCTTTTTGCCCTTTTTTCTGTGAACTGTTTCCTTTGTTGATGTTGTTCTCATTGTTTGTCCGTTATTTTCTGATTTTGAGGGGAGCAACCCAAAAAGTTGCTTCTCTCTAAACTTTTACTTAATGTAATCATTCTTTTCTCAGGCGTGAGGCTAGCAACCCCACCCTGTAAACAAAAATTGCTAAAGAAACTTCAGTATGTGAACCTCCTTGCACCAAAAGAAAAAGTCTGTGTAGGAACATGGAACGTCCGAACTATGTACGAGACTGGAAAGCTGCCCAGATCGCCAACGAGATGAAAAGATACGGAATACAAGTGCTGGGAATATGTGAGAGCAGATGGAATGGGAGTGGACTCACCAAATTGTCAACAGGTGAGTCAGTGATCTACTCCGGTCACCCAGAAGATAACCACACGCACACCGAGGGCGTGGCTATCATGATGTCACCAACGGCAACGAAAGCCCTGATACAATGGGAGGCGATTTCGTCCAGGATAATGACCGCCAGGTTCAACTCCAAAGGAAGGAAAGTGTCAATCATACAATGTTATGCACCCACAAACAACGCAGACCTCGAGAAGAAAGAAGAATTCTACAGGCAACTACAGGCAACAATGGACAATACTCCAGCTGGCGACATGAAAATACTAATGGGAGACATGAACGCCAAACTGGGACCAGACAATACGGGAAGGGAACTCATCATGGGTAGAGAAGCTCTAGGAGAAATGAATGAAAACGGAGAACTCTTCGCCGACTTCTGCGCCTTCAACGAACTGGTGATTGGTGGCAGTGTATACAAGCACAAAGATATCCACAAGGCTACATGGGTGTCACCAGACGGGCAAACCAAAAACCAAATCGACTTCATCTCAATCTCAAGGAAGTGGAGGCGCAGCCTACTGGACACAAAAGCAAGAAGAGGAGCAGACGTTGGCTCAGACCACTATCTCGTACAAGGGACAATCCAAATCAAATTAAAAGCTTTCAGGGAATCAGGAGCTGCAGATAGACCACAAGCCAAGTTCAACACTCAAAAGCTGAAGGACCAGGCTACAAAGGACATCTTCATTGCAAGCATAAAGGACAAAGCCGAGACACAAATCAACACTAGCGAAGAGGTCGGCGTTGAAAAGCACTGGAACAACTTGAAAACGGTGTGGAGCCAAACCTGCATAGAAATTCTAGGCAGAAAAAAGAGACAGGACAAACAGTGGCTCACTACGGACACTTGGAAACTAATAGAAGAGAGAAGGACAGTGAAGCAAAAGATTATCCAGTGCACGACGAGCAACAAAAACAGGAGCTGAATGCAAGCTACAATACACTGAACAAAAGAGTGAAGAAAAGTGCCAGGGAAGACAAAAGAAAATATTATGAAACCATGGCAAACGAAGCAGAACAAGCTGCAGGCAAAGGAGACCTCGCCACACTCTACCAAACAACTAGGAACCTTTCGGGCAAACGTTCGACACAGATTAAGCCAATAAAGGACGACAATGGAAAGTCAATCACCAAAGAGGTGGAACAGAGAAAGCACTGGGTTGAACACTTCAAAAGACTTCTAAATCGTCCGCCACCTACAACACGTCCAGCAATACCAACAACGGAAGCAGAACTACCAGTGAACACTGACCCCCCGACGAAATCAGAAGTCCTGAATGCAATCAAGATGCTTAAAACTGGGAAAACACCGGGACCAGATGGAATCCCAGCAGAGGCTTTGAAAATAGACCCAGAGACAACAGCGGACTTGATGACACCACTACTGGAGAAGGTGTGGAAAGAGGGCAAAGTACCCGAGGATTGGAAGAACAGTTACTTATTCAAACTTCCAAAGAAAGGAGACTTAAGTCAATGTAAAAACTGGCGTGGAATTATGCTTCTGTCCATTCCAAGCAAGATACTAAGTCGCATCATCCTGGAGAGAATCAAACAAGCCCTAGATGAAAAACTTCGTCCGGAACAGGCTGGATTCAGGAGAAACAAATCATGTATTGATCAAATCGCCACTCTACGGATCATCATTGAACAAAGCTTGGAATGGCAGTCACCTCTCTATCTCAACTTCATCGACTTTGAAAAGGCCTTCGACAGCGTCGATCGAGAGGTCATTTGGAAACTACTTCGCTACTACGGGGTCCCATCGACAATTATACACCTCATCCAACAGTTATACGACAATGCTGCATGCCAAGTAATCCACAACGGGAAACTTACGGAAGCCTTCGAAGTGAGGACGGGAGTGAGGCAAGGCTGTCTACTATCACCAATGATCTTCCTGATTGCAATTGATTGGATAATGCGACAGACAACGGCAACCAACGAGGGAACAGGCATAAAATGGACTGACACAAAAGACTTGGAGGATCTGGATTTCGCCGATGATATATGTCTGATTTCCCATAAACTGGAAGATATGCAAGTGAAAAGTAACAAGTTGGCAGAAGAAGCATCAAAGATAGGACTTCACGTGAACATAGATAAAACAGAGATGATGAAGATTCCTAGCCAACATCAACAACACCAACAGACCACAATAAGCATAAATGGGAAGAACCTGAAAGAAACAACCTCCTTCACCTACCTGGGAAGCATCGTCTCAACTACAGGCGGAACTGACGAGGACATCAAAGCCAGAATCGGAAAAGCAAGACAAGCTTTCATTACTCTCAAATCTGTGTGGAGGTCAACAGCAATCAGCATCAAAAATAAGATCCGGATTTTCAACTCCAATGTGAAGTCAGTGCTACTATACGGATCAGAGACTTGGCGAGTCATAAAGAGCATCTCAAACAAACTTCAAACCTTCATTAACAACTGTCTCCGCTCAATACTCAAGATCAGATGGCCAGAAAAGATCAGCAACAGGGATCTCTGGGAGCGAACCAATCAGGAACCGATTGTGAAACAAATAGGCAGAAAGAAATGGAGATGGATTGGCCATACGCTGAGGAAACCATCAAGTGACATCACTAGACAAGCCCTCGAGTGGAACCCGAAAGGGAGGCGGCGAGTTGGTCGTCCAAGGGTGACTTGGAGGAGGTCATGCGAGGAGGAGATGAAAGCATGTGGACAGACCTGGAGCAGGGTGAAAAAGTTGTCAGAAAACCGAAGTCAATGGAGGTGCGCAGCTGAAGCCCTATGTTCCTCTAGGAACTAAAGGATACAATAATAATAATAATAAGTTGATGTTAGACAAGAGAAGAAAACAGGAGAGCACACGAACAAATCAATTACACTTGTCAGTGTAGCGAGAGATTAGTCACACTGCCTTTGTGTATACTGACATTGTGTGGAAGTCTTTTGGTAGGAATGGGTTCTGAGAACCTAGGTAACTACTATGGTTTTCTTTGTGTATTGATTATTTTGAAAGTCTGACTAATTTGCACAAAATGTGGATTGGTTGTCTGGCGATTGAATTGGAGAAAATTTTGTTGCCTTTCATACGGAGACATTTAGGGATATTCTCAGAAAATCTACTAGGCGCTCTCTTTTCACTCCTGACACAGGACACAGTGAGAATTAGTCAGAATTTCAAAATAATCAATGGTATAAATATGTTCAATCTTTCCTTGTCCAAATTAATGATATATTAGTCATGCGCTGATTTCTTCTCTATTGCAAATCAAAACAAGGGATTCAGAGAAGAGACTCTTTTCAACGGATTCATCGTCAAGCTGTGCAGTCATATATATATATATATATATGTACATATATGGTTTCTAAGAAATTATATCCGGTAATAGTAATATGAAAAGCAATTAAATGTTTGTGATTAAAACCACAGTTAAATGTGAAGTTTCAAAACATATAACATAACATATACTGTGGAAGATGAGTTAAAGGTGATCCTAATAGAAACTGGATTTCCGCCACGTTTTATAAACACGAATATACAGTCAAAACCTATGAAACTTGAATCATCATTTGAGACAGAAGAACACTATACATCAGCTTGGAATTCAAAAATGTCTCTGCTTCCGATACCATTAAAAAAAGGATCTCACTGTGTGTAAGAAGGATATTCCCTGCTACATCATTAAGAATAGCGTCTTCCAATTAACCGTCCTATTACCTGAAGGACAGGATCCCTCAGTTGACCAACT